CAGGAGCTCAGACCTTGGTAACTGTCTTTATCTCGGCTTCTAATGGGAACTTGTGGGGAGGATTGAGCCCTTGGCTTGGTATGTGGCTTGACTGTCCCTTAACCCTTCAGGCCAGGGCCAACTTCCTAATAAGCCTTTCTAGAATCTAAGGCTGCAAGCTAAATTAGTATCGCCTTGGTGCCTCGAGGTCCGGGTCAGGGAGCAGGGGCCACATCTGCAGCTCACCCAGGCAGCTCCTCCGTGCCTGGGGCCACAGCGGCTCCCCACAGGAACTCGTTCATTTGTTCATTTCTTCCTCTGCTCATTCCCCTCAGTGGTGTTAATTGTTTGCAATATTTGTAAACTAACTGTAGGTAATTCCAGTGAAAAGGGGCAGCTTGATGAACTCCAGACCCAAGAATAAACAAACCTCAGGGGTGAGTTGGGGTGGGCAAAATGAGTGAAGGTCGTGGAAAGGTACAAAGTCCCAGTTATAAAATAAATAAGTCTTGGGATGTAATTGTAATGACTATAGTTAGTAACACTGTATTTGGTATTTCAAAGTTGCTAAGACAGAAAATCTTAAAACTATCATCACAAGAAAAAAAAAATAACTATGTGTGGTGATGGATGTTAACTAGACATCTTGGTGGTCATTTCTCAACATATACAAATATTGAATCATTACGTTGCACCTCTCAAGCTAATATAATTGTATATCAATAAAAATAGAAAATATTACAATGCTTTGTACCATTAAAGTTGTTAATCCCAATACACAGACACACACAAAAATCAGTGTCATATGAAGAGGTGACCAAAGAGTGTGCAGTGAAAAAAATGTAGGACAAAAAAAAAGAAACAGAGCAACCTATGGCCATCTGCCCTGTCTTCCTGGTCTTTACCCACTCTCCTTTCCGGGGGGGTAGGTGGGGAAGGTAAATGTACCACGGTCGAAAAAATAGTTCCCCCTTGCCTATCCTCAGGGAGCAGTTTAAAGCCAATAGTTGAATAGTGGGCTTTTAAAGCCCATTATTTTAAACTAGTGGATATTTTTCTTTAAGAAAAAAGATTGTGGCCCAGCCGGGTGTGACTCAGCAGTTTAGCATCAACCTAGGATCCAGGAGATCTAGTTTCAGTTCTGGGTCAGGGCACATGCCCAGGTTGCTGGCTGCAGCCGATCAATGACTCTCTCATCACTGATGTTTCTATCTCTCCCTCTCCCTTCCTCTCTCTGAAATCAATAAAGATATATTTGAAAGAAAAAAAAGTCACCTTTAAAAAAAGAAAGAAAGAAAAAAGGTTGTGGCTCATGGAATAAAAAACATGCCACCTGTGCTGGGGGAAAAAGACTTGGTCTGTGATTCAGCTCAATCTGAGGTAGCTTAGACCATCTCTTAAGGCTAGAGACTCATGAAGACAGACGCGAGAGTTTGTGCATGTGGAGGGAAGGGACAGGCACTTAGGAGAACTTCACTGTCACCCGACCAAAAGTCTTTGAATTTTTCTGCTTCCCTTCTGATCTCCCAAAAGATATTCACTTCAACCCATATTTATTGAGCAGCTATTTTATGTCAGGAACTTGCTTGGTTGGAGATATAACAAAAGGATGAATACCAGTTAAATGTATCAGGGATTTCCTAGCAATTTAGCCTTGGGAGACTACCAGACATACATTAAGAATACATGGCCAATAAGTAATATTTAGATTGATTAAAGTAGAAATTAATACCTGGTGTTTCTTCCAGCTATGCTACATATATGATTTCATTGTTATTTGTTGTTCTTATAGTTACTAGGTAAATAATCATGTTATCTTAATAAAGTTAAGATTTAGAAAAATAAATGACTATGCCCAGCACTATGACATCCTCTTTTGGTGGTCCACACCCAAGGACGCCTATTTATGGGGCCATGCGAGCACCTGTGCTAACCTAAAAATAGAAGGGATTTCAAAGTGAAGGCAAGGAGCATTGATTATTCAGGCAGAAACCCAAATAGTGTTCTGATTAGGAGACAAAGGCAATGGGCATTTATGAGAAGGGAGGAGGGGAACAATTACATCAGTAGAAGGGAGACCTTTCTGTTGGTGCAGAAAACGCAACATAGTCATGCTAATTCTAAACAGTGTGTTTAATTCTCAGTTCAGTAGTCATCAGTCCTGTAGTCATAATAACTGCTTTCTCTTCATGTTTGCAAACAGTTTTTTTGGCACACTAGCTTGCTTAGGCCCAGTGCAAAGGGTATTTTTTCTCTGTTTTACCATCCAAAAGTTTGAGGCAAAAGACACGCAAGGTGGTCGCTCGGCCTGGCAGCTCCGCCCCTTCCCAGGGGCTCTGTCTGTTATTGTTTCCAGGTTGCAGCTGGGACCTGGAAAGAAAAAGAGGATCTAACAGTCACGCCTTCAGAGCTGTCAGATTCGGCCTGCGGAGGGAAGGGACAGGGACCTTCGGAAGTCCAAGGCCGGGCCGCCGCCCAGGGACCGGGACCTGGCCCCGCCCTGAAGGCATTCTGGAGTTTTTAAAATCTCAGGCCAGGATTAGAGCTGATCGGGAATTACTAGGAAATCCAACGCTGCTCTGGAGGCGTCTGCAGGTACCTAGCACGAGAAAGTGAAGCTGTAGAAAGACCATGTATTTTTATTTTGGTAAAATCTCCCTTTTGAACGGTGAGATCAAAATTCAGTTTGCCCTCGCGCAGGCTGGAAATGAAGGCAAAATAAAAATCGCCAGAAGTAACAGTGTTCGTGGATCAGGACCCTGCCCTGCCCCTGACGTCCAAGGAAAGAAACGGGGAAAGGGGGCCGGTGGAAACATTCAGGGGAACCCCTCCCACCCGCCTCCCACTCCCGCGCCGCGCCTTCGCCCTGCAGCTGAAAACGGCTTAGACCTATTAAAAAAATACTCCTGTAAGTTAAAAAAAAATCAATTAGTTAGAAGAGGCAGAACTTTCACCTAGAGTAGCATCAATTATGTCCTGTAACTCTCACGACCGTCTTTTCGGAAAAAAAGAGTGACCGGGAGGGCGCCTGGCCAGCACGGGGTTCCATGGTGTAATGGTTAGCACTCTGGACTCTGAATCCAGCGATCCGAGTTCAAATCTCGGTGGAACCTTCACTTTTCACCCCAGCTGAAACCCCGGAAAAGCTGGCCTCCCCCAAATCCAGCACCCCGAGCCTCCAGGGGCTCCCCCGAGGAGGAAACACAGGCCACCGCGGGGGGCCTCGCCCCGCCCCCCAGGGCGCCCCCGGGCCACGGGCCCCCAGCAAAGCGCCCTCAGGGAACAAACCAACCAGAGGCAGAGCAGGACGCGACCCGCAAGGAAGGGAACTGGCCGGACCTCACTGAGATCCGACAGGTGGGAAGTGGAACGAAACGCAAACAAAGCGGGCGAGGAACTGGCTGAGGGCGATGCGGGGCAGTGAGCGCCCCGCCAGCCCCG